TTTTTTTTTTTTTTAAAGAAATGCCACCTTATTATAGAATCTGATCAAAATGCTTAGGTTAAACCTGGGGGCAGGACGCCCTTGGATTTGAATGATACATTGCAAGGGTTACCATGGAAACATAAGTGAAATTTCCCATTTTCCTTATTACCTTCATTACTGATGCTGAATGCAGCTCTCTTTTGATTCCATCCCGTGCTCAGTTTTCTCACCATTCGGCCATCTATTCCAGCCGTCTATGGGCCCTCGGGCTTTTCTTGCTACTGTCTTCATAATAATTATGTTTTCATTGTTTTTTTCTGTTTGACAGCATCCAGTCTAGAACAGATTGGCCATGTAAAATTACAAATGGCGACTCAAAATGGCAACCTATCAGTTAAAGAAATTCGACCGTATAAAACGTGCATACAGCAATCCCATGTTGCTTCACTTACAGCATAACTATACTTAGGTCTACTTAAACTAAGAATTACGTAAAATTCAGAGAATTTTTCGAGCGACTTTCAAATCTATTAATAATTCTGTGATAATCATAGAGTTTAGTCGTGCAGTACAGCTTCCTCTAATTAAGAAAGGTAAAAAAAAAACACTTGCAATGTGTTTTAGTGATTTTTTGAATGTAAAAAATGCAAAGGTTAATTAGAACACGGATAAACCCATGTAACAATAGATAATATAAAGTTCAGTGCTCGTCATGATGAGAATATGAAAAACCAATTAGAATGCGCGACTGAATACTCACGGAATACTCAATCAGTAGCTTCTCTGTTACCCATCAAATGTCACTATTTTCCCTGTCAACTTGACAAAATTCTCCAGTACAGAGAACAGATCGGCATTAAAATGGTTGTTGCCCCCATGGCGGGGTAGAATTCCTTCTCTCCGATTGACACTCGGACACATGGTTGCTCTAACCATTGAATTTAACATGCTCTTACAGCCTGAACATTTTGCCATCATTTCCATGGAACTATATCTTTTAAATTTCCCCCCTCTGACATGCTTATCGCACCAAAGCAGGTTATTTCTAGATTCGAACATCAGGAATACCAAACTCGCCACTACACCAAAAAACTGAGGAAATACCTCGTCGAGAAACCTCTCTAATCGTTCAATCCTTCGTGTCAGGTAATATTGCGTCTGTTCCTTGTCGAGATCTTGCAAATGAACAGTTTCTGAAAGGGACTCAAGTTTCATATTCTTGAGCAGGTCGATGCAGCCCTGATGTACCTTCTCCAGATTGTACAAGTTTGCCAGCGCCACAATCTTCATAACGTTTTCTTTCGTTTTAGGTTGGTCCTCGAGGAACTTCACACAAGGGTCGAATATGTATTGTTTTACCTGATACTCGTCACTTAACTGTAAAAGATCTTCCACATTTTCCACTAAAAAAAATTGAAAAGAAAGTCCGTTTACGGTTTATATCTGAGATGTCTTGCAATGATGCAACACCGTGAAGTCCGTTAAATGCCTGCATGAGCGCGCGTTAAATTTCAGATGATAGGTAGATAACGAGGCGCGAAGCAGACAGTGGACAGAAAAGGCAATAATAAAGTTAGTAAATGCAAGTTGAAGAAATATTTATTTGGGAATAACACGAAAGAAAGCGTCGCGCTCGATTGCGCCAATTTCGCTACTCGAGGACTATTACTAATAGTCTTCTAGTAGCGTAGCCAATTAAAATGCAGGATTGCATTAGTCCACTAGTTGGGTGATACTAATTTGCTATAATCATCTCATATCCAGCAAGTGCGAAAGGAACAATTGTATGTGTTTTTATTTAAAAAGCCACCCAAATATGGAAAACTAAAATAAATAAAAAAATAAAAACGCCCCCACCCCCACCCACTCACCCCAAAAAAGTTACGCGTGCGCTTACCATACTTATAGAGCATGGTATAACTGATCATATACTATGACGACTAAGTCAATGAAATTCCTTAAATTACATTGTCTAGTGATCCAGTTTTGGTCAGTTTTTTTTTTTATAAACAGCTGTTAGAGCAGTTACCGGTGATGTAACATTCAAACGAGGCGCAAGGGTCTCAACTGCAACAACAGCATTTGTTACGGATGCCTTACTCTTCCTCGGAAAGAAGGAACTCAAATCGAATTTGTCGATATATAGACACACATTTTTGGTTTCGAGTGCCCGATCTTACTTACTTCTCTCCTGAGGGATCCAGTTGCATCCCAAATTGGGTCAAACTTGCGACTGTTGTAGTAGTCATTTTATATCAATTAGTGGCAAAACGAAATCTCAAATTTGGGAGAGTAGGTAGGGCGCAGTGGCGAGAGCAAAACCAACGTGTCCAAATTCCAATTCGACCAGGATACAGGACCCGCATGACCCGCTTCCTCCCTAAATATTTTAAATTTTCAAAGGTAAACGCCGATCCAAATGCGATGTTACTGTGAAACTGTGATACATTCTTAACATCTTACAGCTTGACAGCTGGACAAATTTGCCCTGTACGTTAGCTTTAGCTGAAAAAAAATACTTACTTGTAATTTCCACTCGCTCTTGGATGTATTGGAAGCCGTAAATTATCTTCAGAAAGTCCAGAACACCACTAGCATTTTTCTCAGGCAGTGGAATCTCGTTGGCTGTGGATTCTTTTAACTGTGAGTTGAACATAGCCTCGAACACTGGAGAGTTCAAACGCAGAATCACACGATGAACATGAAACTTCTCATCTTCTACAACAAGAACCAAGTCACTACCTTTCCACGGATCAGAAAAGGAATGCTTTACCATCTTTTCTGCTTGGACTCCACCTAAAGAGAAAGAAAAGGACTGATACGACAGTCGAACCTCCGGTTGCGACCACCTCTCGTAAGCGACCAGTTTTCCAAAATACCAAAATTTTCCCAGTCAAACCACTATATTTGGAACCTCTTGTTAGCGACCACCTCTTGTAAGCGACCGCGACCACTTTTAGGGCTAAAAGTTTAATTTTTTTTGTTGTTTTTAACCTCCCGTAAGCGACCACTTGACAGATAATAGAGCGTAAATTGGATAACAAGGTGTTGTAACATTAATGTACTCCTGGGTAATACAAGGAACAGAACTTTCTTAAAGGGAAGTAACGGATTTTTCTCGAAATTGACTTTTCACGTGAGATACCGGCACGGAGTACAGAGGAAAACGTAGCGGTTCGTCATGCAGTACAATCGAAGCAGTTTAGCTTTCCTCCTCTGAGTCAGTGAAGAACTCGATCTCCTCTATAGCTGGTTTTCACATGACGTCACTAAAATTCGAACAACAAAACTATTGATCTTCCTGAGATTTTACTTTCATGATGTGTAAGAGCAGCTGGAAACTAATATTCATACAAATTTTCGTTCCGAATGGGTTCTTGGTTTTGTGATACACTACGCTTAAATTTCTAAGCTTTTGCGTGACACGGCATTTACATGACGGCCTAGAGAGCTGTCCTGATGGTTAAAAAAGTGACTTATTTCGGGGAACTTGGCTATCTGAACAGTTTATGTCTTAGAAAAAGTATTATTTTAATGTTTTAGAGTCCCCCGAGGGATAAATTCACGCTTTTGTAACGAAACTCAGTGACAGATGTTTCTGTTGGTTTCCGGCCGCCATGTTGGTGCCCATAGGGATGGGCACCAGCATGGCGTCTCCATACAAATCTCTATAAATTTGGGTAAAATATTTCTCCGCATATCTAGCATAAGAAAAATTGCTGTGACTGGAATTTTGGCGAGAGTTTTTGCATATTTACCTTCTTTCATTTCCCAGATTCTGGACTTTATCTGTTGACCGGTTTTGATTTTTATGTTGATCTATTTTAAATTGCTTGACACTGAAAACCAGCAATATCGGCTGATTCACCCATGCGGTAGTCCGGTAAATCATCGATATTTCTTGTTACCTTCTTTTCATGAAACACAATCTATACACATGGAATGCAAATAAATGTTCATTTTTTATTTCGGAAAAAAAAAGGCTCGCGCCAGCTCTATTTGTAAACGATTTTTGTTCCTCGAAAGTAACGACCCCCCGAAAGTAGCGACCCCCAAAGGTTGCTACTTCCGAAAGTAACGAGGGTCGCTACTATCGGAACTCCACGGTAGTTTAGTTGAGCCGCAGCTTGCGTTATTGGGTTGGNGGGGGGGGGGCGACTTCGCACTGCAGTGCTTTGTCAACATTGTGAAGCCACAAACGTAACGAACGCAAGCGGAAGCGAATCAATAAGGGAAATTCCGCAACCCACTAATCTTTAAGGGAATCTTCCGACATTGCCCTTTATGAGTTCCCGGAAGTCTAATGACGAAGTTGAAAACAAAGTGAAATCTTATCATTACTTCTAAGTTTCCATATAAATGTCGCTACAAATTTTCATCACGTTCGGATCAAGCGTAAAAGGGGGAATTTGATTGTTTTTACATGAGGTGCTAAGCGCGATAAACTGACCTTTGTAAAGCACGATCGATGCATCGAAGGAACGAATTACCTTGATATCTCTTTTCATTATACACTTCATTCATGCAGGTAGAACGGAACGCGTATTTAATGGGTGCTTTGGCCTAGCAAACCTTAGATTCAATGATTTGACGAACTGAAATGACAAAGAACACTTCTGTTCACAAGCGATCAGAAAGTTGTATTTGAAACTTTCCAGTAATTCCAGCATTTACTCACCAGTTTCGTTTTCACTGCTCTTCTCTTCAACGTTTGTCTCCTCGATGTTACTCGCCATCCTTGTACAGTAGATTTGTCTGTCGCCAAGCGGAAAGGTATTTATGTGCACGTTCTGTCTTCTCTACACAACTGGCACAAGGAAGTATAAACTCGTTAGATCGCGTGACAGTGGAAGCAGGCGCTCACATTTTCACGAAAAGACTGGAGACCAGTTTACCTAAATCACGCCATCTGTTTTTTTTATTTTTTATTTTTTATTTTTTTTTAGTTTTACGTGTAAAACGCACACGGACTGTGTTCTTGCGCTCCTTAGTTCATTTAGCAGTTTTGAGCTCTTTCTAAAAGGAGAACTGAGAAGGTTGAAAACTAATTTTTAAAAAGTCGTTTTAATTTGATGGATTATATGGTGTGTCGTAAGCAAAATCGGAATAACGCCGCTGCCTGAAACAACGTTCAACTCGGGTTCAATCAGCTTCCCCTGCTGTAACTGGTGAAGAAAAGTTCCTAGCCGTTTAATATATCGTAACGGCAAATTTTCTTCGATTCCTCTGTACTGTTGTTAAGATCTTGTTTCCTTGATGCTTTCAATATGGACTTAAAATTCTGATAAACTGGTACTTGTTTCACTTTCAAAGTAGATAATAAGTTTCAACGGTATTTAAAAATTCTTATGAGCACTTTCAGTTCTTTTTAGTAAAATACGTGGAACACATCCTAAAATTAAAAGACTAAGTAAAAGTCTGGGAGTTAAATTTAAAGAAGTCACGAATTTCATTGACTAAGGTCGTCAATGAAACTTATTATAAATATAGTTAGCATTGCTTTCGCCTTGCAACAGTCTGACCCTAAGACGGCATGCAACACTTCCACCGGCCAGCATACATACGCAGTTGAAGAAAATTCTTCATCCGACGAGGGAGCAAAACCTCGTGAGGGAAATTCATTACGTGATAAAGAGCAGTAAACTTGAATAGAACACGGCAAATTATACGACCATGCATAAGAATGAGGCTGGCAAAATGGTAGACTTTGACAAAGTGTCTTTAACCATCTTGGCAGTTTTTCAGCTCAATCTACACGTATTTCTAGATCTGTAGCTTCAACATCAAAGACTAGAATGAAACGCACAGTAACAACACTGCAAGTGACAGCTCAAAAGGGCACATCTAACAGTATGACTTAACGGTCTCTCGAAATCAGCGAAGTGATTCCTGCTGCCTCACTGATAGCATAACTATACTTTTAAAAACTACCAAAGATTCAAAATTCTGCAGAGTTTTTGGGGGCACTTTCCCCACGGAGGACTCCTACATAAAAAGGACAGGGGTGCTTGTCATACCTCTAAGGATTTAAAAAAAGTGGTTTTGGTACCTCTTAGGGTGTTCAGCCTCAAAAGGTTCACAGGCGGAGCTTTTGCAGTATCTTTTATGGTACTGAGACGAAAAAATATGACAGGAGATAATGTCTTGTTTTAGAATTGGTACTTCTTAGGGGTGGAAAACATTTCAAGCCACGCCCATAAAACAGGATCTTGGTACCTCTTTGGGGCTCTTTTCAAAATTTCTGACGAGCATTTCTGTCCTTTTTAAGTGGGAGTCCCCCCCAGGGGCAATTTCACCCACAGCATAAACTCAGAAAAGATTTATCGCAAGCATGGTTGGAAAAAAAGACTGAACGGTGACTAAGTTACATCTACCTATGAACAGGCCTAAACCCACATAGCTGATAAAATTAAGAGGTAGAGTGGTCGTTTGTGGAAGTATGCCTAACCAATTAGAGTACGCAACTGAATACAGCTCACTAAGAACTCAGTCTGTCTAATACGTCTTCCTTGTTATAAAGGATACCTCACTTTTTCTTAACCACCATAAAGAGATCGTGCATAACAGAGAACAGATTGTTATCAAAATGAACCATGGGTCCATGGTTGGGGACTCTTTTTCCATGCATCTCAAAACAGGTTGCATCAACAATTGACTCTAACATTCCTTGACAGCCTATACAATCTCTAATTTCCAACGATCTATACATTCTAAATTTACCCTTAGAGACATGTTTACTGCACCATAGCACCATTGCTTCAGAATCATGCAAGCGACGCATCAAACTAAACACTAACCCAAAAACCTGGGGAAACACCCCATCAAGAACTGTCTCTAACCGTTCAATCCTTTGCGTCAGGTAATATTGCGTCTTTTCCTTGTCGAGATCTTGCAAATGAACAGTTTCTGAAAGGGACTCAAGTTTCATATTCTTGAGCAGGTCGATGCAGCTTTGATATACTTTCTCCAGGTTGTACAAGTTTGCAATCGCCAGAATCTTCATAACGTTTTCTCTTGTTTTAGGTTGGTCCTCGAGGAACTTCACACAAGGGTCAAAGATGAGCTGTGTTACCTGATACTCGTCACTTAACTGTAGAAGATCTTCCACATTTTCCTCTAAAACATTAAAAAGTATATATCTTTGATTTAATTTTGAGCTTTGAAGCAATATCTAGCCGGCGAATGCAGAGTGACATATTTCCGGCTGCCTGGAAATAGACATGCATTCACAGTCTAGCTAAGCAATACCTACAGTAGAAGTCCGTAAGATGTAATTGATAATAAAGAGAGAGATGCCTTACCGTGATTCAAACAAGCAGGGATGCTTCTTAGATGAAGGGACAAAAATCAAATTTTAGTGATTATGATATATACTGAGAGTGATGGGCTCCTGATACAGACATGTTTCTGGTCGGCTGAAGCTNTCTAACCGTTCAATCCTTTGTGTCAGGTAATATTGCATCTTTTCCTTGTTGAGATCTTGCAAATGAACAGTTTCTGAAAGGGACTCAAGTTTCATATTCTTGAGCAGGTCGATGCAGCTTTGATATACTTTCTCCAGGTTGTACAAGTTTGCAATCGCCAGAATCTTCATAACGTTTTCTCTTGTTTTAGGTTGGTCCTCGAGGAACTTCACACAAGGGTCAAAGATGAGCTGTGTTACCTGATACTCGTCACTTAACTGTAGAAGATCTTCCACATTTTCCTCTAAAACATTAAAAAGTATATATCTTTGATTTAATTTTGAGCTTTGAAGCAATATCTAGCCTGCAAATGCAGAGTGACACATTTCCGGCTGCCTGGAAATACACATGCATTCACAGTCTAGCTAAGCAATACCTACAGTAGAAGTCCGTAAGATGTAATTGATAATTGAGAGAGATGCCTTACTGTGATTCAAACAAGCAGGGATGCTTCTTAGATGAAGGGACAAAAATCAAAGTTTAGTGATTATGATATATACTGAGAGTGATGGGCTCCTGATACAGACATGTTTCTGGTCGGCTGAAGCTAGATGGCCTGTTTTACTGACTCATCCCCAACTTCTTCCCTAAGGGATCCAGCTGGATCCTAACTCGGGTCAAACTTGTGACTTTCGTAGCGGACTTTGTAGCTGTCAAACTGTTTCATATCAACTAGTGGCAAAAACATTAAATTTTTTAAACCACAATTTCAATTTTCAGAGGTAAACACCTCTCAACGGTGTTACTGTGCGTCTTCTACATGTGCATACTTATCATTTTATTATTATCACTGTCATTAACATCATCATGGCTCCAGCCTGTGATCCAGTCGAAAACTTGTACCTGTTGTGGGCAGTGGTGAACTCCAAAAAAGCGTAGGTGAGCTCTATACACGAGCCTGCAATATGATCACCTGATACTGGTCAGCGGATACCTTGTTTTGAGAGTTGTCAATTTAACATAACATGGAAACCCAATATCAAAGATGTATGCTGTAAACCCGCCCCACCCAATATCTAAGGGAAAAGCCGTAGGAATGAGGTTGTTGCACAGTGTTACATTTCACATTGTTATACCTCCCACCTCAAATAAGTTTTCCGATTGGAGAACGTGTCGTGTGTCATTGCTCAAAACTCACTAACTCCCTTGAGTGCAAACAAAACTCACTAACTGACCCTAGGGAAACAACAACTTTAACTTTTGACTAGCACATGATCAGGTCAATGATGCTCCTAGAAACTGCGGCAATTTTGTGTGATCATGTGTACTAAACGCATCCGCAGTCAAGTGTTGATTGATACCCTTGAGCGATATCATCGATCAACACTAGATCAATACTCGATTGACACTCCATTGACAACTCAGTTGATGCTCAATCAATACTAGTGGTGTAATGATTAATCGAAATTATTCTCTATTAATAGCGATTATGATTGTTCGCATTCCCAATTCTTTGATTCCACTTATTGATTTTGGTTTGAATTTTTGCATACCTTTCCCAGAGTGCCCTCAGTGAGTTATTACATTGTAATATCAAAATCCAGAACTCTTTAAAATGTGTGTTTTTGATTGACGAGTAAAGGTGTTTGTAGTTTGTGCACCATTTTGTGTTGCATGGTAAAAATGTTGCCCCTCTACCACCCCTTGAGAATTTCCAAACAGGGCAAACCTTGTGCAACACACTCATTGTATCCTAAAATTGAGGGTTTAGGGTTGTATGTTGTTTACATTGTGTATCATGTTGTAAGAATTAAAAAACATTAATATTTTGCATAATCAAATTGAAATCGAAATCGAAAGGAAATAATCGAAATTGAATCGAATTGCAAGGAATATGAATCATTGCTCCCCTAATCAACACTCCATCGACATCTCAGTCGACAGTTGACTGATTTTCAATTAATACATAAATATGAGTTGCTTGACACTCAGCCGAATATCAATTGACAGTTGATCACATATTGATCGAGTGTCGACTGAGTATCGATCAGGATGTTGATTGACTACTGATCAAGATGTTCATATATGGTATCAATCAACACTCAGTTGCAGATGACCCCTCACAGCTTTGCCTTGGGGAACATTGAGGTTCTCTGGGAACAAAACTCATTATTTCCCTTCAGGGCCAGTCATTAAGTGCTTATTGATTTACATGAAGGGGCATATGGACACATGTACGGACAGAGGGAAAATCACGGCACAACCCAAATTATTTAGCTTGATGGGTTACCAAATTTTCTAAACAATGGGGCTTGGCTCACGCACCTGCGACATGCAGGAGCTTGACCATGATATAATTACTTTCAACTGAAATGTGTCACCTAAATGTTAACTTTCACTGGAAAAATACTAACTTGTAATTTTTGCTTGCTCTTGGATGTATTGGGAACCGTAAATTATCTTCAGGAAGTCCAGAACTCCACTGGCATTTTTCTCAGGCAGTGAAATCTCATTGGCTGTCGCTTCTTTAAACTGTGATTTGAACATAGCCTTGAAAACTGGAGAGTTCATACTCAGTATCAGACGGTGAACATGAAACTTCTCATTCTCCACCACAAGAATTACGTCACTATCTTCCCAGGGTTCAGAAAAGCAGTGCTTTCTCTTCTTTCCTGCTTGGTCTCCGCCTTTAAAGACAAAATCTAGTTAGGACTAAATGGACTATCTGCATGCCTCCTCTCTCTCCAACTGAGGCATGGCCTTTCAATCTAAATATGATGTTAATCCATCAAGCATTGACAATTTTAAGGACCTAGAACTGTGTTTGCCTCTAAATACCAGTAATATGGAAGATGATTAGAAAGAACTGAATAGAATAAAGAATGTGGCAACCCAAGAAGTGAAGAGAGTTGCACATAGACTAGATTTCTGCAAAGACCCAACCATTAAGTAACCAGATCATGCTACCGTAAAAGGGGCCTAATAGTTTGCACCACAAAGGGAAGAGACCTTAAGGTCTAAGTTTTTGTCTGGACTGTTTAAGGACTAATTTCAAGGAGAATTTTGGCACTCTTCAAGGACTTTCACATCAGTACTGAATTAAGGACACCTTACACTGTCAAGTATGTCAAATAATAATCAATGAAATCTAGTATCATCAAATTGACATTTTGAGACTGAGGTGTTTTTTCTCGACCTACATTGTCCATGCCCTTGGCTGCCCCTCCCAACTTAAGAGGATTTTAGCTGACAAGTAGTATGATCCCACATTGATAGTATATGTTTACAGATGAGGGTGGATCTCATTATTACTAATATTTTTTGAAATTCTTCGGTCAGCTTTCTAAAGAAAGGTCTTGTGTACTTATCTTGTAGTCTCAAACATTAAATGACTTCTCACTGAAACTCAAACTTCAAAGCATTTTAAGGAAAGAACTATTTTCTTCACTTTCAAGGACTTTTATAGTGTCTGCCAAATTTTCAGGGGCTTTTTAAGGTCAGTGCAAACTGGTGGTAAGAGGAAAGGCTTATAGAAATGTGAGAATTTAAATGAAACAGTTATGGCGACGTGTTACATGTACATGGGGGACACACTGAAACATTTGTGGTCATGACGTGAGGAAAAATGACACTTGTGTCTACTCTAAGAGGTGAACCCTTTGACCTTTGAGGGGGTGTTGGGTGACTTGGTAACGGCACAAATTTTTTTTAACCTTTAACCATGCACTTGGAAAGTTCTTCTCAATAATTGGTTTGCATTATATTTTTTCTCTGTACAACATACTGATTGTCAGCTCACTGAATGTGCATGACTTTTTTCTTGGCAGTGGTGGTGTGCATGAATTTTTTGGGGTATAAGCATTCTTGCGGGATACATACATTGTAGCTTTGTTGAGCCAAATCTGAGAGTGTTAGATAAAAGCTTTACTCAGCACTGCAGCTTGCATTGTTGGGGGGTATTTTGCACCAGAGTGCTTTGCCAGTGGTATGGAGCTGGCCACGAACATGACAAAATGAAACAGCAGTGAAACCACGAGGGAATTTTGTGCGCACATGAATCTTCAAGGGAATCTTCCAACATTGTCTGTGATGAGTTCCCGAAAATGTGATGACAAAGTTGAAAAGAGAGTGGAACCACTAGGTTTCACTTTCCATAAAATGTCATTATACCTGCCAACCCCCAGAGTACAAAATTCTGGAGATGTCTAGAAAGGGCACCTGAGAATTCTTTTTGCAGTGAACCGAAAGACATGCTGCCTTCTTCCCTTCGACTGATGTAAACAGCTTGCAAAAACCGCGCCAACTTTCTACACTGTACCATGTATTATGCAATTTGATTGGTTGACTTCTGACCAATTATGATACTCGTTAAATATATATCAATTTGATTGTCCTGTTCTATGTTTTCCAATAAAGAACAGCTCAAATAAGAGCACTAAATCCACTTCTTGTTTTATTTTCCTTTCTGAAATCTCAAAAATAATGAAATTAATGAAAAAATGTTGAAAAAGCCACGGTCCAGGTATTTCCCAGGAGATTTGGTACTCTAACTGGGAAACCAGGAGATTTGATGAAAAACTTGGAGACTCTCGGGAAAAACGGGAGAGTTGGCAGGTATGTGAGTTTACAAATGTCCATCACATTGGATGAAGTCTCTTGGGGGGATTTTGAGTGCATTTTTACATGAAAAGCTAAGTGCGATAAACTGTACTTTATACAGGAACTGATCGTAGTTAGATGTATATATTGCGGGAAAAAATACCTTGAAATCTCTTTCACGTTAATTTCACTGCATGTGGACACTCCATTCATGCAGGAAGAACAAAACGCACATTTAATGGCGATTTGGCCTCACCTAATGGCCAAGTTTAGACATCGCGCCTCTGCCGTGCCGAACTCAAAGTTTAATTAGGTTCGGCTACAGCACGGGGGAAACACGACTCTGTTTCAGACGTCGTGCCACAGTATTCAGGATTTACTAAAGCTTCAATTCTTTTCGTA